TGCGCCCTTCATTAGAAACATCTGCTGCTTGCCGACCTCCGTCACAGGGCGGTGGAGGAGTGAGGTTGTGAAAGTTCCAAGTGATTTTTCAGACAGGGTGAGCCTCTGAGGAAGAGGGTCCCCCATCTCATTCCCAGAAGGAAGGAGAAGTGGGTGTGTTGACACAGGGGACCCTGGACACTTGGGGACTCTGCATCTGGATTTTCTGGGTGGGTTCCACTGTGACCCCCACAAGTGACCAGTCAAAGCCTTGGCCTTGTCTGACAGGATGCTCCAATTTGGGGTCTGGGACAAGCCATCTCAGGAACTTTGGAGAGATTCCTCAGAGCTTCTGAATGAGTACTCCCAGAACTGGTGGTCAGTCCTACCTTCTCCAAACAGCTACCGCTGGGCCAGCCTGTGGGCAGGGATGAGGGGAGATAGTTGGTTGCCCCTGTTTACCCCTGCTTGGCCTCTTTTTTTTTTTTTTTTTGGTGTTGGGTGGGGAGGGGCTGGAGGCTAGGAGTTGAGGAGCTTTGGAGCTTGGTCCTCCTATTTCATTCAGGTCAGAGGAGAGGCCAGCCCTGCCACCCTCTGACTTTTGGGTGTTAAATTCTGGGGAACATATTTGTCAGGCAGTTGGGTTAGCCTCTTGCCCTGCATAGGTCCTGGGTCTGTGGCCTAGGGTTTCACCTATACCATCACTCAGGGTCAGCTTAGGACCAGTGATAGGGGCCATTTTTGAGACCCCAGCACATCTCCCCCACCTCTCCCTTCTCATGGGAATCAGGAACCTACATTCGTTTGAAGGAGCTTTACCATCACTCTTCTACTCCAACGCCAGCCCACCTAGGGTGAGCTCCTCCAGGATCTCCCAAATCCTGGTCCTGCATCAGAACATGCTTTTAGTCCTGCTCCTTACTGGGTCTTAGACAAGGAGTCAAATTAAATAAGGCACACAGGTAACTTGCTTTAAGTCAACTTGGGCAAACTGAGAGCAACTGCCTCGAAGGCAGGGGCTGCCTGACACTTCCACTTCTCTGGGGCATGTGGAGGAGGAGAGCAGAGGACCCTGGGCAGGACCCAACTCCAACAGAGCTGCTGCCCTCCTTGCAGTCATCTCTGGTACCTCCTCATCTCTTTCCTGGCCTTGGGGTGGGCAGAAGAGAAGGCTCCCCTGCCTGCCTTACGGCATCTCTCACGCCTTGCGTCTCAGGTGGCTCCTGGAGTATTTCAGCAGCTCTGAAGCAGTAGGAGCTGGACCAGGTCTGAGCTGTGGTGCTCTCTAGAAGCTCAGGGCAGAGGTGCCATTTTGCTCTTCCTCTCTGCTACAAGGAAGATGGGACTTGGAAAGGGAGGGAGGGAAGGAGGGAGTCAGGCTCCCCAAATACTAGAGAACCAAGGCGAATGAAGAAATAAGAGGCAGGCACAACTGAGAGACAGCCATCCAAAGGCCTCCAAGGGAAGAGAGTGATGGCGGACCATGGGCAGGGGGATGTCAGAACCAATCCCGGGTCACAGCTGGGGAAGGCCAAACTCTGGGCTGTCAGAGGTGTGGCTGGGAAAAGACCTATGGTGGTGTGTGTGTGTGTGTGTGTGTGTGTGTGTGTGTGTGAGAATAGGGAGGCTGTCACGCATTCACACACACAGGGGAGCTACAGGGTAGGCCTGTGCCAGAAACTGCTGCATTCCTTCTCACTCCAAAGCCAGCCCGCTCTGCAAGATGCTTTCTCATGGCTGGCAGGCATATTTTCCCCTACCGCACGGCGCTCTCGTTTCTATACGCCTGCTGCATTAGAGACTCTCTTCCCTCCTCTCTAAAGCAACTGTACAAACACCTGCATTTTATTAATGCCGCCTGGAGCTGGGGCTGGGCTAGGCCCCCTCTGCTCTCACCACCCCTCCTCCATCATGCTCAGTCAAGCAAAGCGCAAGGGTTAACCCTGTGTGGCTGGGTTTCTGTCTTGAAGGACATGGGTTCCCACAAGAACAGAAAAGTACCCAAGAGGTGGGAGGGTGGGGTCCTGCAGACAGCTGGCCAGGCATGCTGGGAGCTCCTGGCTCCACGCGTCCCTTGCCCTAGCTTTTGGTCTAGTTCTCTCATTACTGCTTCTATATTTCTCTTGCCAGAAGATGAGGACGCTATCTTTTTTTGAAAGGAATTCTTCTAAGAGAAACTCTGCCAGGCTGGCCCTTTAAATGTCAATTCCATCTCTCTGCCTTTAGGAGCCATTGGGACTAAACAGTTCCAGAAAAATAGCTGCTTTCCTCTTTAAAATATTTTAAATAAGGAAAGCATAAAGAATATAAAAAATGTCCCATAATCCCATCACCCTGAGAGCCCTGTTAACATTTCTTTTAATGCAATACATGCACATGCCTTTTTTTTTTTTTTTAAGTATTAGAAGGTATAACATGAAACTTGAGTTTCTCTCCCCTCAAGCCACAGTTGTTCCTCTCAAAGGCAGTGACTGGTAACAGTTTGTTGTGGATCCTTCCAGGGAAAGAATTTGGGCATCTTCTTTTTAAACTAAAAGTTGTCTTGACTTCTTGCCATATCCACCCATGGAGACCTTCTCCGCTCTTTCTAATGGCTGCATACACCACAAGGGGCTGGAGCATCAATTATTTACCGTAGGGGGTGGGTGCACGGGCTGCCTCCAGTTCATAAGGCTTACAAACATTGGTGGCACAATCTTTGCACAGGAGCCTTGAGTGTGTGTGTGAAGATAACTGCAGAAGAATCCCTACCAGTAAACTGCTGAGTCAAAATGTGGTGCATTTAACCTTTCGTCTAGACTTTTTTTTTTTTTTTAAAGGGTTGTTTCTCTCTCTGCCCTTCTCCATTTTTGTTTTTGTTTTCCTATCAGGTAAACTCCTGGTCATCTGTCAGAACCCAGCTCAAATTTCATCTCCTCGGTGAAGACTTCTCTGATTGTTCCAGAAACCTACCAGCTCCTTCTTCCATGTTTCCTTCCTTCCTTTCTCTTCCTCCCTCCCTCCCTCCCTACCTCTTTCTTTCCTTCCTCCCTTCCTCCCTCCACTCCCCTTCCTTCCCATCCTCTCCTCTCCTCTCTCCTTCCCTTCCTTTTTTTTTTTTTTTTTTTTAAATTCCAGGGGCACCTTACCACTGAGCTATATCCCCAGGCAACTTCTATATTTCCTTGGCCTGTCTTACCTAGTCTTATTGTAATTTGGGTTTTTTAGGTGTCTGTTCTCAGTATTGGAGACTGATTGACATCGTTTCTCCTGGGACACCATGGTTTGACCTTTTTAAAGATTTTTCTTTGTGCAATCAACTTCTGGGTATATACCCAAACAACGAAAGCAGAGACCTATTTGCACATCTGAGTTCACAGCAGCTGTTGTTCACAATAGCCAAAAGGTGGGAACAATTTAAGTGTCCATAAACAGAAAAATGGGTAAGACACGCATGTGTGTGCGCTCGTGTGCGCGCACGCGCGAGCACACACATACACTTGCACTCACACACTGGTGTATTATTCAGCCTTGAAAAGGAGAGTAATTCTGACTTATGATCTAACAGGGATGAACCTTGAGGATATCATGCGAGGTGGAACAAACCAGTCACAAAAGGACACATACTGTATGATTCTACTTACATGAGATACTTAGAGTAGTCAAATGCATAAAGACCAGAATGGTGTCTTATCTTTACGATGGTGGTTTCCAGACACTGGAGGGAGGGGAAATTAGGGAGTTTGTGTTTAGCAGGAACAGAGTTTCAGTTTGGGAAGATGAAAAAGTTCTGGAGATGGCTGGTGGTGATGGTCATAGAACAATGTGAGTGCACTTACTGACCCTAAAGTGCACATTTAAACATGGTAAAGATGGTCATTGTTATATTACACATAGAAACTTTTTTTTCCCTTTGTGTGAAAATGTGTCATCTCACAGATGCAGAGATGCTGGCGAGGGCTCTCCATGGGTTGCTGTAACCATCTCTTACCCCGGGCGCCTCTGACCCATCCAAACTGGAGAGGATTTATCCTATTTTCAGATATTTCCAGGGAAGGGAGCCCATTAAGTTATTAGGCAATCTTTTCCAGTGTCTTAAAACCCCAGACATTCTTGGTACCAGACCTTTCCTGCTGCACCTGAGGTTGATTTTCCTTGGTCAGTAAGTGCTTTGTCAGGCCACTAATGCTTCACACACCCAAAGCCCTCATTAAACTGTCCCCAGAAGAGATCTGGAGGCATCTAGTCACAAGCTAGTAAGCAGGCTTTGGAGGTCCAGCCAGATTTCTCCTCTGCATGATGGATGCACATTGCTGGGTTTTGACTCCTAAGCAGGCTGGGCTCAGACTCTGGGGCTCTGCCAGGTGAAGCAGCCCACCATCTCTCCTGTCCTTTGGATGTGGTTTGTAGGCCAGAGAACTTCACCCTCTAGGACCCACCTCTGTACCCTTCAGCTGGAGGTCTCTTGCTGACAGGCGAGTTCCCCCGAGGCCCCTGGACAAAGCTAACTGGGAATTTCAGCAACCCTCAGGCTCTCTTCTCTGACCAGAGTCCTCTTGACAGATTAATGAGCTGCTCGAAAGGTGGACCTGGCAGGCATGTTCCCTGCGGCCTGGAAGATGCTGACCTTGTCAGCTTTGAAACATCAAAGGGCCACAAGGGAAAATGGGCCAAGGAGGACCTTGTCACCTCGGTGCCTGCCAATCATAGGCTTGCAAGACCTGACATGGCTGGGATCTGTCTGGAGCTTGGAGGAAGTATGGCCTTCTCTGCTGTGAGAATCTGCCCTCAGCATCCTTCTGGGGCACAAGAAGGGAAGGGGGGCCCTAAATAGTGGCCCGCATTCTCAGTGACTCAGATGTCACTGCTACCACAAAGGGAAATCTGTGTGGGGTGGGCACTCCCAGTAACCTCCTCACCTGCAGTTTAGGGGATACTAGCATTACTGGAGTTCATGCACAAGGACTGTTATCCCAGAACTCCCATCAAAGGGCCTGAATTAACAGTTCCAATCCAACTTGTGGGTTATATGAAGGACTCACCTTAAGAAGCAGCTGAGCCCTGAGGAAGACAGCAGTCCCCAGGTTGTTCATGCAATCAAAGCCAAGATGAGGAGCAGCCCCATGGGTCAGTCCCGTAATGGAGTTTGACATAAGCTAGGAGATAGACATTAGCACTAATATTAACATAGTTTGTGCATTATACGATGGTCTTGGGACTTTCCCTCTCCTGATCAGCTGGAATGTCTGACAGAGTAAATTCCAGATGCCCTTGTGGAATTTTCATTACGATCAGGTTGCTAAGGGACTTTTCTGTACCTATAAGCATTTTGGAAATACAAGCACTAGCATAGGATTTTTTTTTCAGTATGTGTGGATTTATTTTTTGATGTATTAATTACCCTCCTGCCCCCTTCCCATCTTTGGCTCACCCATCCAAGGAGCTGGCATCAGTGAACTCAAGAAAGAAGGAAGGAAGAAAAAATGTAGAAGGAATGAAAAGTTTGCCCAGGCTTCATATGCAGAAAGGGGCTTTGTATTGTTCACCACTGAATCCCCAGGACTTTGCATGTGGCAGTCATACAGAGAATCCAATTAATAGAATCCTGTGCTGCATAACAAGGTTTTGGTCAGTGATAGACCATGTATATGCAAGTGGTCCAATAAGAATTTCTATTAGTCAGTGCCATTGTAGGAGTCACAGTGTCATACCAGACTGCATTATTTGTGTGTGTAGCAATGCTGCTATTATCAAATTCACTACACAGCCAGTGATACAAAAGTATAGCACATACAGTTATGTACAGTGCATAATACTTGATAATGATGATAAATGACTCTGTTACTGGTTCATGGATTTACTAATCTATACCATAGCTTTTATTATTATTTTAGATTGCACTCCTTCTATTTATTAAAAAGAAAAAAAAATTACTGCCTGGGCAAGGTGGCACATACCTATAATCCCAGCTACTTGGGAGGCTGAGGCAGAAGGATTGCAAGTTTGAGGCCAGCCTCAGCAAGTTTGTGAGGTCTGTCTCAAAGTAAAAAAAAAAAAAAAAGACTGGAGGTGTTGATCAATTATAAAGCACCCCTAGGTTCAAGCCCCAGTACCAAAAAATAAAATAAAATAAAACAAATTTACTATAAAACAGTATGAGAGGTCATGGCAGCCATGGCCTCATACATTTTGTGTTTACTGGTGTCTTGTTTGCATCCAAAGGCTACGTTGAGTGACTGACCTATGCCGTCCAGGTTTGTACCAATACACTCTATGATGCTCACACATTGACCCAATCACCTAAAGACACACTCTTCCGAATCCATCCTCTTTGTTAAGCCATGAAAGACTGTAGTTGATAAATATTGAAGCAGGGGGAAATAGTCACAGGGAGTTCCCAGAGTTCCCAGAAATTCCATAGCAACTCTGTGAAGAAGCCAGGAGGAGAATCTGCCCTCCCACGTGCCGGCCAGTTCTCTGCAGGAAGCCATGTGCAAACGCTTTTTAAGTGTCCTCTGGGTGGGTTTAGGTGTCCATGAGCTCACTCAGGGGAAGTGGCAGACAGAGCAGGCATGGCTTTTGAAGCTCAGGACTGGCTTTGGGACTGTGCCTCAGACAGGATCCAAGGTATTGAAGGGCTGCAGAGTTCCCTGGTTTGGGCAAAACTGGGCCTTCCTGTAGTAATTGGCAGGGGGACTGACTTGGTCTTTGTGCCCAGAGTGTCCAAGCAGCCAAATGCTAGGGCCTAGGTCTCTGGAGGAGACAGATCCTTGTCCTACCACCTTGTACCCTGATTCTGAGAGCCAGGACTAGGCGCATGGGACAGAGGCAGCTACTGGACAAGGCTTCAGAACCCCTTTGTTCGCCATGCTTCAGTCTCTCCACCCGGAACCCGCCATCCTGGGGGTTTCAGGAAGTTGATCCAGGAAAATACCTGGGGGTGGAGACAGCCTGACCAACAGTCCTCACCCTGGCCCCAGTTCTTCAGAGTGCCCACCCCAGTGCTTGTGGTTCCACGTGTGTCCCCAGCTGCACAGGCAGGGTGGAGGCCTGTCACAGGGCTGGTTTTGCTGAGGCCATCAGAAAGCTTAGGAGGAAGCAGGCCCAGGCCCTGCTGGAAGCCTTGCTGGGATCTTGCTGGGCTCTTGCAGGGCTGCTGGACTTGATGTGCACGGCCACAGGTTCCCTCTGGGACCATGAAGCCACCCACTGAAGGGACATCAAAGGGCTTGTTCAATCTCGTGGTCCCCTTTCTGTTAATTTCCCTCTGCCTCCAGAACCGCCCTCCTCCCACCTTCTCCTACTGCCCCTCTGGCCCATGCAGTTGCCAGGACGCTGGGACTTGGGATGTCTCACCAGCCGGCTTTCTTCAAGCCAGGCGGGTTCCATCGCCCTGAACAGTCTGAAGGCTTTTTCTTTTCAAGATAAGTTGGGGAGAGGGTTAGGAGAGCGCTGAGCAGCAGCGAGGCCTGTTTCTTCTTTATTTTCCTTTCCCCCTCTGGGACTCAGAGATCAGATTTTTTTCTTTCTTTCTTTCTTTTTTTACAGTACATTTTGGCAGGCCCCATTTTTTTTTTTTTCTGACAGAAAAAAAAAATAACAGGCATATTTTGGGCGATTACTCAACTGGGGTCCTTTGTGACAGGATATGCAGCTGCGTGACTAATGGAGCTGGCTTTCTCCTGGCTTCCTTCCCCTTTCAGAGCTCTTGTTTACTGCCCCATACCAAAAAAAAAAAAAAAAAAAAAAGAAAGAAAAAAATGCCATAAGCTACAGATTTTTATACATTAAAAAAAGCCTTGTGAGATACTCAAAGGCAATAAATCCTTTGGCTATTCCATTTCCAGGGCTGCAAACTCCCCGCCCTCTCCCTACTTCTTCTTTTCAAATACTCAAGCTCTTGACTGACGACATGTGAATCTTCTTTCCCACCCCCACGTCCCTGTTTTCTTCTGAACATATGTCCAGCAGACCGTGTGTGTGTGTGTGTGTGTGTGTGTGTGGTGTGAGTGTGTGTGTGCATTTGGCAGGAGTGTGGGGGAAGGGAGCAGGATGAGAACCATATTTATGGTGCTTAACTCAGCAATTGCTAAAGGAAGGGATAATGACTTCCAGGGGCTCAGGGCCTTTTTCCCAAGGCCTTTGTGTTTCCATAATCTATGACAATTTTGTGGTGTAAGCAAAAGTTATTAGAAAACATGGGACTTAATGAGGAAGGGTATGTTCTGAACAGGGAGGGGCCGTCTCTTTATTGAGGAAAATCCAAATTTGACTGGCTTTGGAATGCTGAATCTTGGCACTTCCCGGACAACTTTTGGAAGAGATTCTAGCTTGTGGTGTTCAACAACTAGAGCTGGCCTTTCTGTTTTTCTAGAGATCAGATGGCTTTTAATTTTAAAAAGGTATCTGGCCTGTGGGTGGGGAAAAGTTCATTAGCTAGTTAAGGTTTCATTCAGATAGAGTGGTGGAGACACAGCACAGGGTTGGTGGCCAGGTGAGGGGTTTGAGTCTCAGCGGTGAACTGGATGGAACAAGTCTTCTAATATCCATAGTTCTTAGTTCCTTGGATGTTAAAATTGGCATAGTGTCCCTCCTGCTAGCAAGGAAGGAGCGACGACCGGAGCAGAAGGCAGGAGTTGGCCCATACGTTGAGCAGAGGAGAGAGCTTGCTATGAGGGCTGTGGTTCTACCAATGAAGAGGAAACAGCAGCCCCCTCCACCCCCACATTACTGCCCAGGGCCGGGAGGCTGATATGACTTTGGAGTTTGTCCATTCCCAGTCTGGTTCATGCAGGTCTCATAACCCATCACATTCCATGCCTACTGGGAAAACTCCCTCCTCGTTCAACCCAGACAAAAGGCGCCCATGAACCCCATTTTTCCTGTCCTTTCTTCTGTGCTAATTCATCCTGTGCACACATTGGCCCAAGGAACTGAACCCTGGGCACGGTTGAGCCACTCACCCAACCTTTCGTGGGGTACGGCTGAGAGGCCCTCTCTCCTCCTTCCCTTTCTTTTACTCCCTTTCTTCCTCCTCTCTGTTATACCCTGTGTGTTGGTCATTTTCTTTTCCATGATTCCATTTATACTTCTCCCAGAGTCCTCACTGAGTAAGAACATCTCAAATGGCACTCCGAACTCTCTGGGAAGCTTCTCACTCTCTGTAGTTCAAAAGACTAATGTTATCAATAAAGATAGTCGACTTGATTTGCCAGAGGGTAAACTGAGCCAGGGAACAAACTGGTCAGTTTATACAGCAAGTCAGTGACACAGACAGAAATAGAAACCCCACAACCTGCTTCCAGATTGCTTGGAGTTTAAAGAGGCATCTTAGCTTGGAGATCCCAGAATAGCTTCTCCTAGGCTGACCAGCTGTGAAGTGATGTGTTGCAAGGGTTATTTTTTGCCTTGGCTTAACTCTTAAAAAAACACCCCAAACTCCCAAAATCAGCCTAAGAAAATCCATTTCTCAGAATGTCATCTGCTTGCCAAGTTTAAACCTAGCGTATTACATCATGAACGCCTTCGGGCCTGGCTCTAAGCTTACGATGGCACTCAGGTATCTGAATTGAGTTCAGAAATCACAGTTTATTGAAGGAAACAGATCATTAAGTCACTCCACTGGACTGAAGCCCTCCACCTTGCTTATTTAGAGAAGCTGAGCATTGACTAATGTTCTTGTGATTCTTGTGGACCTAGACTAGCTACAGCTATTTAACAAAGGGTGTGGCCCTCAGATGGCATGGGGCTGTTGGGGGCTAATGGGAAGAGGGATGGGACAGTAGTGTGCTGGAGCTAGTTTGCGAAAGATGGTTGTTAAATTTTGAGGAATTTTGGTTGTTAAACACAGCCACTATTAAAAACTAAATGACATAAACTTATAATTAAATCACATTAAAAACAAAAGTCAGAAATGCTAAAAACAGGTCACACTAATTATTTTATGAAAATTTACTATTATCTATGCTCTTGAGGTATACATCTATCTTTCTGTCTGTCTGTCTCTTTTTCTATCTATGCAATAATATAGACTGGCATGCTGCTATCAATCTCTTCCCAATTCTGCATTCAGTAACATCACATTTGTAGCTTGAGATGGACTGTGGTAAGAATATTTACACCACAGAAATTGGAAAACTTTATGCCTGGGGCTTGATTTTTTTTCCTCATTATCTAGACTTAAGAATCGGTGGAGGAAATATTAATAAAGTCAATGAAGTTAACATAAAAGTGTACTATGTCAATACTCATTACATTGTGTTGTGAATAAACAAAATATTGAGATGAAGTTTTTCCTGCTTTCAATAGTTACTACTATTTGACTCAGCAAAGGGTTGCTCACATCAAAGAATAATAAGTGAAATTCTAAAACAGAGTCATATGAAGCTGAATGATGGAGACTTGCCGTGTAGTATGTGGTGTTAGGCAATTTCATCAATATGTGAACATGATGGAGTGAAGTTTCACAAACTAAGGTGACTCTGATGTCACTAGATGATAGAATTTTATGGGACCAGTGTCCTTTATGCAGCTTTTTGTTGATGGAAACATTGTTATGTGGGGCATGACTGCACCTCTTCGTTGTTTGACTTTTCTCTTACTCATTATTGTAAACCAAATTGTCAACCAACATCCATCTGCAGTTGGAAAGCCAGTTGTTAAACATTAACCAGCACACTGCTGGAAAGGAGCATGGTGAACCATTCCTTTGGGGTCCCAGAAGGAAGAACATTATTGACTTTTTAAATTTTTTTGACAGGGGATTGTACCCAGGGGTGCTTAACCACTAAGCCACATCTCCAGTTCTTTGTTTATGGAAGTGTACTGTGTCAATACATTTTTTATTTAGAGACAGGGTCTTGCTAAGTTGCTTAGAGCCTCACTAAGTTGCTGAGGCTGTCCTTGAACTTGTGATCCTCCTGCCTCAGCCTCCTAAGCCACTGGGATTACAGGTGTGTGCCACTGGGCAGCAGCAGATACTTTTATAAGAGCAGGAATGAGGGAAATGATCCAGATAGGCTAAACTGATGCACACCATCGGATACCAACAAGGTTCGGGGATAGATTCTAAATTCAAGCTGAGCATTAATATTGCATATACACAGTGCCTATAGGCCTTTCCTCTATGTAAGCTCAGGTACATGATCACCAGAACAGAATCATAAGGAAGACAGGTAAGTTCGCCCAGCACCATACCTGAATTATAGATGGGAAACTGAGGCACTGGGAAGTTAAGGAGTTTGTCCAAGTTTTCTCTTTCTACATACATAACTAAGCTGAGACTTGATGGAGACCCAAGTAACACAGATTTGGGGGTCAGACATAAAGTGGCTTTGGTAAGTTTGCTTTATCTTTTAAATCTTGGTTCTTTTTAGCTTCAACATGGAGATGATAATGCCTGGTCACAAGCTTGCAGTGAGGGTAGTTGAAATGAGATGCCAGGTGTAAAAGACCTGGTTCTTAGGAGGCTGTCCATGAAAGTTCATTTCCTTTTCCCTCCCACTAGGAAGTTTCGACATTTCTTACACTGAATTTGAGTATAAGATTCTTTTGGCTCAACTATTTATTTGTCTAGTTGTGTTTTTTGCTTTAAGTAAAATTACTCTGCAAGGCTTTAGGCCAAACTAGTTGGAGGGGTTAAGGGTAGGGGCAGGGAGGATGGAAGGAGGGAGCCAGAAGAGGATGGAAGCCTAGCATGAAAATTTTGTAAAGAGCGCCTTTGCCCGTGGTAACTGGAATAATCTGTATGCATGATGGTGCTCAGCAAGGCCATTCCATGCAACAGGAACTGGACTACCAGATGAGCTGTCCTGCCCAGACTTGGGCCTCTGCATTATCACCAGCAGAAATGAGGGAGTCCAGAGGCACCCCTGTCCCCTAAACCTCTCACAATCTCACCACCACTCTCTGCCTGGGGGGAACACCCAACCCCACAGAAAGCAGAGGCCTCAAGCTATTCCTCAGCAGGACAGAGGGGCAGCTCCACACCCAACTTGCTCTTGCCCTCCCTTTCTAGATTTATCATTCTCCTAAGCACTTATCACCACAGGGCATGCTGTATCATTTACTAGACTGTAAGCTCCATGAAGGCAGGGCTTTTTATTATTACATTTGGGATCTAGGCAACTGCTGGGAATGCATAGGGCTCTCAGTAAGTAGTTGCCCAAGAGAGTGAAATGGATCATTATTCTCACTTTCTCTTGAAATTTTACTTCATATATATATATATATATATATATATATATATATATAT